AACAGGGTGGCATGCTGCCCAGTGGGGCTTCGAGTGTCGTAGACCCGCACCATCCCGTATGGTCCCGTGTAGTCACAGGGTGGCTGGCCAGCAGTAAGAACAGGGGCTGTGGCCGGGGAGGGGGTTTCTTTTCTTTTTTTTTTTTTAATTTTTATTTATTCGTGAGAGAGAGGCAGAGGGAGAAGCAGGCTCCCAAGGAGCAGGGAGCCCGACGCAGGGCTCGATCCCAGGACCCTGGGATCATGACCTGAGCCGAAGGCAGACGCGTAACCATCTGAGCCCCCCAGGCGCCCGCAGGTTTATTTTCGCTACCCTAACTCAGAAAGCCCTGGTGGCCGGCGGCTTCTGCCCCAGCAGCGCGGCCTGGTTCCCCTGGCCTTGCCGGACATGGTGCGGCAGGGACCTGCCCACCCAGCCCTGCACACTTGGGGCTCAGCAACACTTCCGCTCTGTCGTTTCCTTCAGTGGATGAAAGCGTAGTGGCCTTCCCTGCACTCCTGGTCCCGGTTTTCTGTCGCGGCCTGAGAGCCGCCTGGAGCTGCCTGGTCCACACACAGCGCGGCAGGGGCTGGGCCGCAGCAGGGCCGCCCTCAGGTGGGGTGAGCTGGAGGTGGGGACTTTGGAGCATGTCCAGGATGCGAGCCCTGACCCCACCTCTGTCCCCAGAGAGTGCCAGCGCACCCAGGGCGTGTCCACCACGGACCTCGTGGGCCGCATGTTGCTGGTGACCAAGGCCCATCACAGCGGTCACGTGAGTCCGGGGGGGGACGGGGGCGGGGTCCCCGAGGTCCCAGGGCTGAGGACACTGCTGGGAGGGGGGGGAGCACCCGATCCGCCCTGTCCTTGTCTCTCTGTGGGCTCCAGGACGGCAAGTTTTGAGGCCCTGGGGTTGACCATGTCTGGGGGGTGAGGCTCCTCAACGTCGCCCATCCTTCCATTCAGGAGATCTCCTCTGAGTACCGGGAATATGCAGACAGCTTCGGTAAGGTGAGTGTTGCCATACTAGCCAGGCCAGTGTCTGATGCCCCCAGGCTGCCCCTGGGGCTGGCTGGGATGCTCACCGAGCTCCCTGCCTTCCAGGCACTGCCTGGGTACTGGCCCCGGAGGAGGAGCAAGGACCGCCTTTGAGCCGGTGGTCTCTAACCAGGCGGCCTGGCCCTCTCTCCCTTTGTAGCCCCCTCCCCTGACACCCGCCAGGGAGACACTGTCCCAGGTGACCAGAAGGTGGCTCAGGGCGCTGGGTCCCCCCAAGGGCAGTGTCCACTGCTGGGCCCGTTGTCCGGCCCCAGTGCTGTTGGCTGCACAGTGCCCACTGTGGCCGCAGAGCGGAGCCATGCGTCCCACTGCTCACCGGGGTCTTCTCCAGCCTGGCGTGGTGTGGACGGTGTCCTGCCGGAGGCGTGTGCCTGCTGAGAGCACACACGTGACCGAGGGCGCTGGCAGGCTGCAGCTAGGGGTCTGGCGTTCTGGGCCGTCGCCCCCATTCCTGCTCCCAGCCAGCCAGGCGGGTGCAGGCAGCCCCGGCCGCAGGAGAGGGGCTGTGGGGTGGGAGCAGGTCAAGGACGTGCCTGCAAGGCATCAGTCACTGACCAGAGCGCTCTCGGCTTCCAGTGCCCTGGGGGGCGGAACCCCTGGACAGGGGTATCGCAGTTTCTGCAGACGTCTCAGAAGATCATCCAGTTTGCTTCTGGGAAGGAACCTCAGCCAGGGGAGACGATCATCTACGTGGCCGGCGCCTTCGACCTGTTCCGTATCCTCTGGGACCAAGTGGGAGGGTGGCCCCCGCCCTGGCCCTGTGTGCACCTCTGCGTCGTGGGACGGCCCCCAGACTGGGGCAGAGCTCGAGGGAACCTGCTGGAGCCCCTGGTCCTGTGGGCAGCTGCTCCTTTCCCTGTTACTTGCTTCTTAACCCGGGCACAGACATCGGCCACGTGGACTTCCTGGAGAAGGTGCACGGCCTGGCAGAGAGGCCATACGTCATCGCCGGCTTGCACTTTGACCAGGTCTCGCTCCCTGGCCGGCTGATAGGGTGTGGGGGCCTTTGAGGGGCTCCTGGGGTTGAGGTTGGGTGCAGGTGGCCCACAGGGGTGAGGCTTGGGGTGCTGATAGAGACAGAGGAGACACACCGGGGCCTCTTCCTGGGGACTGGGGCTTCCCCACACTAGCGGGCACCCGTGAGGGGCTGTGGGGGAGATTCCAGCCCCCACCTGCCCAAGGCTGCCTGCTCACCTGAGTTCACTCTGGTTCTAGGAGGTCAACCACTACAAGCGGAAGAACTACCCCATCATGAACCTGCACGAGCGGACCCTGAGCGTGCTGGCCTGCCGGGTATGTGCCGAGGCGGCTGTGCTGGGTGGGGTCTCCTGCCCAAGCTGGTGGGGACGAGGGAGCAGTGAGGGCATCCAGGAGCCTCGAGCTTCCGGCCAGCCAGCCCCACCATGCTGCCCCCCTCCCCCCCAGTCCCTGCTTCCTTATCATCGAGCGCCCTCTCCCACCACTCTCTGACCTAGCTGGGTCCTAGCTAACCACCTGTGTTCCCTGTTCCCATAGTATGTGTCAGAAGTGGTGATCGGGGCCCCCTATGCGGTCACAGCAGAGCTCCTGGACCACTTCAAGGTGAGGCCCCTAGTGGGCCAGGTCCCAGGGAGGGCCCTCTGAGTGCAGGGCGCCGGGCTCCCTGACCCCCGTTCCCTCCCCAGGTGGACCTGGTATGTCACGGGAAGACGGAAATCGTGCCTGACAAGGACGGCTCAGATCCTTACCAGGTGGGTCATGCTGGGCCCTTGCTGGACACGAGGTGGTTGTGTGTGATGTCCCCAGCCTCCTGCCCCCTCCACCCCCCGGGCTCACAGTGCCTGTCTGGGAGCTTGGCTGGGGGGTAACTGCCAAGTGGCCTCCCAGGATGAGGAGGCGGGTTGCTAAGCAGCTGGAGTAACCATACCGGTGTCCTGGTCCTCCTGGGGTGAGGACCCTCCAGGCCCAGGCAGCTGGGCAGTCTCCTCGGGGTCCAGAGGAGGGCCCTCATCGCCTCCCCCTACCCTCTGGCCTCCAGGAGCCTAAGAGAAGGGGCATCTTCTGTCAGATCGACAGCGGGAGTGACCTTACCACGGACCTCATCGTCCAGCGCATCATCAAGAACAGGTGAGGGAGAGGTCCTGGCTGGGCCCGGTGGGGCGCAGACAGCCACTGAGGACCCAGGCCTGGGCACACAGCTCACCACAGCCCGGCCCCCAGGCTAGAGTACGAGGCCCGGAACCAGAAGAAAGAGGCCAAGGAGCTGGCTTTCCTGGAGGCCAGGAGGCGGCAGGAGGTACAGCGTGAGAGGGAGAGCGACTGTGACTTCTGAGCAGAGGGAGGTCACGAGCGTGCCCACGGGCCAGCCCCCTCCCTGCCCTGCTTCCCACGCCTTGAGAGATTGGTTCCCACGGTTTTTAACAAAGCTGCAGTGCTTCCTCTCTACCTGGCCTGCTCTCGGAGGATGCTGCCCCCTCCGCACCAGCACGGGGGAGCAGCCCAGTGGGCGGGATGAGCAGCGGGCACCTTCAGCCAGAGGGGCGCCACCCTGTGTGCTGGTGAAGGCCCAGCTTCTGCTCCCCCCCGCCCCCGCCAAGCTCCTGCAGACCCAGGACACCCCTACCACCTGGCACTTTCTGCCTTCCCGGCCTCGTTGGAAGCCAGCTTCAGGGGAGCAGTGACCTGAAGGGGGCACCCCCTTTCCTCCTCAGGGCACAGACCGTGCCGTCTCCCGTGTGGGCTCCCTGGTGCCCTGGGCCTGGCTCTTGGGCACCATGCCCCCCACTTCCTGGGCCAGCCTTGCTGCTCTCCCCACAGACTGTTCTCGATTTTGTATCTGACTGGCTGGTGTACAACCAAATAAACCTGGTCGGAGGTATTCTGTGTCCGGCTCTTGGCCCTGCTCCCCAGCACCATCCACACGGTGGGGGCCCGGGGGGAAGCAGGCAGCCTGGCAGCAAGGCATCCCCCAGTTTAGGAACCCCAGACTCCTCAGGCTGCCTCCCAGGGGCAAGAGCCCAGTGGGTGCCTGGCCCCGGAATCTGTCACAGGCCAGTGGGAGGCTGGCTCCCGTGGTTCTGCGCGGGGCCATGCATCCAGGAAGGAGTTGGCTCAGGCTCCCTGACTGGGTCCAAAGAATCTCAGCGTCTCCAAGTCAGGGCCCGCTGGGAGCAGCCCAGCAGCTGCAGGCTGCTGACCCTGGTCACCTGTTCGTTTTGGATGGGGTGAGGGCAATAGTTTGGTTGGTTTTGTTCAAAGGCGAGGACTGTGATGGTGTCTTTTCGGCCCCTTACCCCAGAAGGGCATCCGTCCTTCAGCTACTGATCCAGGTGAGGCCTGGCACCTGTAGCCTGGCCCCATAGAAGGGGAGAGCTGGCATCCTTTTCCTCTGATCGGTCGGCCTGTCCTTTTCTTCCTTCCGACGTAACCACTCACGAGGCCTAACTTAGAACCCCGTGCGGGAAACGGAAGGGAAGTGACCGTGAAAGCTCATGTCACCCTCCCGGCTGGGCAGCCGGCACCAGCTTTCCTTGCCTCCCTCCCCAAGTTGGGGTATAAGTTGTGAGAGGCACGGGGCCCTCCCTAGACCCCCACCCCATCTGGGCCCCCAGCTTCAGGGGCGCGGTGGTGTTGGGCTTCCCCACACTTCAGACTCCTGGACCCCTGAGCAGGGGGGCGAGGAGGGACCAGCCAGTCCTGCATTGACTCGGATGGGGGAGGACCCGGGAGCAACCCCTCTAAGCTGGGGACTGCGGCAGCCAGAGAGCCCTCTGGGACACGGTTGGCGGAGGCCCAGATCCTGGGGGTCCGGGAAGTCAGTGCCCCCGGAGACACGTCCATTCAGGCGCAGTGGGATTGTGGGACCCCCCCCCCCCGATAGCCTCTGAATGGAGGGCCAGTCCCCTGGCCTCCCTGAGGCCCAGCTGGCCAGCCACACCCCATGGGTGGGGGACACCCCAAGACAAGCTCTGGGCCTCATTTCGCCTTCCTGCCCCCTGGAAGCCAGCTCTGAAGGGAACTCAAGGTCAGCCTCAGCGGGCCGGGGGCGGGAATGAACCCAGATTCCGACAAGTAAAGGAGGGAATTAAGCCTGAGTGTGGAGCAGAAGAGGCCACTGCTGCAGAGTCGTGATCCCTCACAGCCACGCCTTGGCGCTCACAGCGGTGGGGACCACCTGCTTGGCTGTGGGTCAGGGGAGAGGTGAATGCAGAGCCCCCGGCCTTCCAGCCTGTGAGCAGCCCCTTCTCACCCTGGAACTGCATGTCCAGCTGCCCCCCCCAATCCCACCCTGGCCTCGTCACTCATTCCTTCAACAGATGGATTCACTGCCCTGTGCCTAGTACTTTGAGGTGTTTTGAGGGGACCTCAAGAAAGGAGTGACCCGAGGAGCTGCCTCTCCAGTAAGGAAGAGTTTGTCCTCAGGAAAGCCCAGAAGCAAGGCAGGCCCAGAGTGGGACTCTCCCGGGCAGGAGGGCCACCTGGTGGGGTGGTCGGAGGAGGCTAAGGGCAAACCTGGAACTGGCTCCTGGAGGACACTGGGGGACCCCGGAGCTGTGTGGACAAAGGCGGGGAGACAGCGGGGGCTTGGGGTGCGTCTGTGCAGGCTGTTCCGGGAGAGGCTAGTGGCCTGAAAGACCTGCGGGGGGTGGGGGGCACTGGGAGCGTCTGGCGGCAGAGTTGGGGTCTGGGGACCGGCGGGGCCCTGCCCACCCTGCCCGCCCTGCCCGCGCCCACTCGGAGGCCGGCTGCGCTTCTCGTTTATTCGGGGAGCCTTTCAGAGCGGGGGTGGAGGGAGGCGCTGGGGTGCCCGCGCTGGGCGCTGGGCGGCGAGGGCCAAGCGAGGTCCGGGCGCGGGGTCGGGGCTCAGGCGCTGCGACAGTCGGCCGCGCGCAGCGACAGGAAGACGTCCGCCTGGCACTGGAAGGTGGCGCGGCCGTCCGGGAGCCGCTCGCAGCTCCGCAGCTTCGGGGACACGTCTGTGACACACACGGCCTGGGGGCGGGAGGAGGCTGAAGGGCCGCCCGCGCGCCCCCCGCGCCCCCCGCGCCCCCCGCGCCCCGGCCCCCGCCCCCCGCCCGCCCCGCCGGCCGCACTCACGAGGCTCCGCAGGCGGGTGCGCGGCTCGACGACGGCGCCCGCCCGGCCCGGGGGTCCCGCGCTCGCGGGGGGCTCGGAGCGGCGCGCGTGCGGGGCCCTGCGGAAGCCGGACAGCAGCCCCGCCGCGCGGCCCACCGAGTAGGAGCTGGGCCCCGCCGCCGGCTTGTACCACGCGCGGCCGGGCGGCGCCAGCAGCAGGCACAGCGCCAGGGCGGCGGCCACCAGCGTCGCGGGCCGGGCCATGGGGACGCGGGCGGCGGGCGGCGGGCGGGCGGCGGGGTTCGGAGCCGCGGCGGCGGCCGCCTTATATCTGCGGAGCGGGGCGCGGGGGCGGGCGCAGAGCGGCCGTCGGGCCCCCCCGCTCGCCGCAAGAAGCCGTGCCTCCCGCGCTGGGGGCCCGCGCCTGTGGGGGGACCCGACGCCCCCATCCTCCCCGCCCCGGCCGGCACCTTCCAGGGTCCTGCCCGGATAGGGCCTCAGTGCGAGCAGGGGGCAAGTCGGGCAGCAACTGAGCCCCCAACTAGCCCGAGGGCGCCCCAGCCCTAACACTTACCGCCCCCCCCCCCCCCCCCCCCCGAGGTCCTCGGTGCTCATGAGGCTGGGGAGAGATGACTGCCCAGGGGACACTTTCTCCTGCCCTAAAGGGGAACTGATCCCAGGGCCAGGGCTTCTAGAGGAGACATCAAAGTCTGGGCGGGCCTGGGGGCCACACTGTGTTTCACACCCACGGGGGAAGCTTCTATTAACAGGGTCACTACAGGTGGGGTCCTTTAGGAGGAGGTGGACGGCAAGGCCAGGCCTGACCTCTGGAAACCGAGCCAAAGGACAGCTGACAGGAACCCAGAGGCCGCTCCCACCCAGCTCTGCCCTCAGGCCGGCTGCCCTCGGGAGCCTCAGGCCATCTCTCCTGAACACCTGTGTTCAACGGGCGATGAATCAGACCCAGTCCCTGACTCAAGCCCAGTCCCTGACTCAAGCCGCAGCCAAAGGGGAAAACACAGCTGGCTGGAGCCGCTCACCAGGGGGGAAAATAAGGGAGCACTAGGGGCGGGGCGGGAGGTGGGAGGGGGTGACGGGAAGCCAGGGTAGTGTTTGCAAAGGCAGGTGGTGTGAGCCTGTGCGTCCTGGGGGAGGGAGAGCGGGCTGAGGTTCTGGAGTCCTGAGAAGACCCTGGAGGGGCCCTGAGCTTCCTGGGAGGAGACAGATGGCTGGATGTGGACAGGACCTGGTGGGCAACTGCATGGCCAGCTTGAGGCCAAGCAGGCCCTGCAAGGACCAGGCTGGAGCCCAGGATACGCAGTGCGTAAGTGTCCAAGTGGCAGGAAAGTAGGCACAGCCTACAGGAGGGGCCGTGACCTTGAGCAAGTTGACACCTCTGAGAATGAGGACATCCACCCCAAAGGGCAAGGCCGGAAAGCCTGCGAGGCTGCACTCAGGGTCTGATGCCCCAGGCACACAGTCGTGGGCCACAGGAGAACCCCCCCCCCCAGGCAGGGGAGGTGGGGCGGGGGATGGGGGGAGGCCAGGGTGAGGTCAGGAAACTCCAGGATGCTACAGGGCTGCCATGCTGCCCCGAGGGGCCTTCTGCAGGGCCGCAGACCACTCGTACTGGGCTGTGAACTCCTCCCTGGGAGTCCTCGCATCCGAAGACATTGTAGACACAAAGGCTCAAGAATAGAGAGTAGCCGCCCAGACCCAGCAGCCAGACCTAAGTTTGTTTGCAGGGCTGTTGGGAGCACCCAGGGGGGCTGAGCCCAGGCCCCAGGGGCACCAAGTGCGGCTGCTAGAGGACGTGGGCCAGTAGGCTTGCTCAGGCACCCCTCCTTCCACTCACACTCCCTAAACACCCTGGACACACTGTCTTATTTGGATGTGCCCTCCCAGGACAGATCCCGGCCCGGGGCCCTGGCAGCTGGGTTTCTGGACACAGGGCATGTGACCTCCAGCTTGGGGAAGAGTGATGGTCCCCAGGGCTTCCTTCCCTCTGGGCACAACATCCAGACAGCAAGTAGGGAGCCCCACAGGTGACCGACCAGGAGGCCAACACCTGGGTGCTGAGGACAAGCAGTGTCGGAGTGCTCGGCAGCTGGCCACCCACGAGGCACAGGGCAGTGATCCCCAAGGAGTGTCCCTTGAGAATGGACTGGAAGGAACCAGTGCCAAGTGACTCCTTGCAGCTCACAGGGACATGCAGCCTGCAGCGGTCTGTCCAGAAGTAGCCAAGACTCCCAGGGCTGGGGCCATGGCCCCCAGAGGCCGCCCCCCAACCTGGAGCTGTGGACTAACAAAGGTGCCCAAAGGAGCCTCCCACGGGCTGTTCTTCTCTAAGTAGAGGACCTCAGACACCTGGGGACACAGATGGCCTTGACATGGCCTACACTGGGTCCGTCGCAGCCCAGACGCTCAAGCTGGAACAAGGGAGAAGGGACTGAGATCACCAGCACCTGCTCAGGGACGGCCCTTCAGCAGAAGGGACCGCGGGCAGCAGCTGCTGGCCGTGCCGGGTCCGAGTCGCACAGACTAGTCTGCGAGGCGGTCCCCGGCTTCGGGGTGAGTGGCCTTCGTGCCCCTGTTGGCACCACCAGGCCTTTCAAGCCCCCAGAGCCAGTTACTCTGGCCCCAGGCTCTTCTGGCTGATCCTACGCTCCTTCTCCTCCGGGGACTGTGACTCAGAGCTTTGGTGGCATCTCATCGAGATGTTTATTCATGAGTTTTCCCATCGACGCACGGCGAGGCGGCATCGGGACCAAGAAAACAGGCAACCAGAGCCCTCCAGCAAGGTTCGGGTAATTTAATGGGTTTCACTTATTGGATAAAGTGTCACCATTTGAAGGAAAACAAACGCAGCTCCAGTCCTTGTGTCAACCCTGTCGCGGCCCAGAGGGGGGCCGTCCCAGGGGAGAGCACGGCCGGCCAGTCCACGGCTGGAGGCCTGGGGGTGCCTCACTCCTTGAACTTCCACTCCTGGCGGCACATGGGACAGTGCTGCTGCACCTGCTGTGCGTTCAGCCACTTGAGGATGCAGTGCATGTGGAAGCAGTGGGAGCACTGGCCCCACACCAGGGGGCAATCGTCACCCGGGACCTTGCCTGCGGGAGGGGCGAGAGCATCACGCCAGTCACACAGGGCGGGGCCAAGGCCCAGGGCCCGAGGATGTCAGGCGCCTGCGCCAGCCCACTGCAGCCCGGGGGCTTGTGTCCACAGCCTCCCACAACTTGTTTCAGAAAAGACGGAATTCAGGAGTGTGAGCGCGCTGTGCGGGACACGCACACACGCACGCACGCACACAGGCACAGGCCTGCAGTGGTGGCCCGGACTCCGCCCTCCCCTGCGAGGGGGTGCTCGGCTGCAGGGAGGGCTCTAGACCCATCTACAGACGCACCGCGGCTCTGCCCCTTCACCTGGGACACCAAGGTTCCAGCACTGGTCTATCTAGGGCCACCCCGCTCCCCCCGCTCCCCCCGCCACCATCTGAACAGGGAACTATTTCTTCTGATCAAGCGTCGGAGAGCTGGGGCCTTGGGACTGAGGTTCCTCTTCTAAGCAGCAGGGACCCAGCACAGTGGAAGGAGCGGTGTTTGCGGCCCCACCTGTCAGCAGCCGGGAGTCCGCATGCTGCTACCTTCACCTCTTTTTCATTTCTGGCCTCAAAGGGCCCCACCTCCGGGGCCCAGGGCACATGCTGCTAGCACTCCACTCCACATGCATGGAAATGCTACCTCCATGGGTGGGTACGGGGGGACAGCCACACTGCCCGTAATCAGAAGAGGATAGGGGCGCCTGGGGGGGCTCAGTCGTTGAGCGTCTGCCTTCGGCTCAGGTCATGGTCCCAGGGTCCTGGGATCGAGCCCCACATCGGGCTCCCTGCCCGGCGGGAAGCCTGCTTCTCCCTCTCTCACTCCCCCTGCTTGTGTTCCCTCTCTTGCTGTGTCTCTCTCTGCCAAATAAATAAATACAATGTTTAAAAATGAAAAATAAATCCTTTTTATTTATTTATTTTTTTAAAAGATTTTATTTATTTATTTGACAGAGAGAGACACAGTGAGAGAGGAGCACAGGCAGGGGGAGTGGAGGGGGGAGAGGCAGGCTTCCCGCCGAGCGGGGAGCCCGATGCGGGGCTCGATCCCAGGACGCTGGGATCATGACCTGAGCCGAAGGCAGGCGCTCAACGACTGAGCCACCCAGGCGCCCCATAAATCCTTTTTATAACAAAACATCACTGTCTCTCTGAAACTTTGATCACAAAACAACTAGAAAATTACATACTTGGCTAATCCAGAATTACCTTACTCACTCTGCTTCCCCAGCCACCGGGGTGGGGTGGGGGGGCGGGGCGCGGGGGGGGGGCTGAGACCCTGTTCCAGGAGAGCCCACTAGGTGTGACACCTGAGATTACATCCCCCTCACCCGCAGGGCCTTCCTGAGCCCAGCAGAACTCAGCTTGGAATGAGTGCCCTGCAAAGAGAGGATACACTGGTGGGGGGCAGGGGATGCCCTGGTGGCCGCTAATGGGGAAGTACACAGGCCACACGGTCCATCTGAGGCGAGAGTCGTTTCCAGTAATGTCACCAGCAGGCAGCCCGCCTGAGGCATATGATGAGCACAGGGGCAGTGACGGTGACCCACCCAAGCACTTGCTTGTGTCTTGATGGAAATCCTTCATCATGAAAACACCTCTCAAGAGGACTTTTACTCCCAAAGCTCTCTGGGACTGGGAGCGGATTTATTACAGCCTCAGTCACTCTGGCTTTCTCACAAGAGCTCAATTTTAGCAAGAGAAACCCAGTGTCACCTCATCCGTGTAAAGAGCACCTAAGCGTGTCAGACACTTGGCACATTACGACTTGCTCTCAAATTTGACCTTGGGTCTGAAGATCAGGCTCTAAACCCCCTCCTCTGTGGCCAACAGACCCCCTTCCACAAAACCGGGGCACACTGGCAGGTGCAGAGATGCCGGCCACAGGCCCCGCTGAAACGGCAGCAGCTGGGCGCCCAGGCTGTGTGCCCATGCCATCCTGACCACCCCACTCACTCTCCCACAGCCAATCTAGGCAGGACTTCTCTAGGTGCCCATCCAGGACCCCAGAGCCTTTGCTGTGTCCCTAAGGAAGCATTTAAGAGCGCCTTAAAGTAGATTCAATAAAACCGGATCTTGAGACTATGTAAAACTTAATCAACTAGAACCAGTCAGTGATCTGCTAAGATTACATCCACCCATTTGAGTAAATCAGGACGGATTAAGTCCTGGGAAAGGAGATTTCCTTTCAGCCAAAGCAAATGTAAAGATTAAGCCTAGAATATGGGGCGCCTGGGTGGCTCAGTCATTAGGCGTCTGCCTTCGGCTCACGTCATGATCCCAGGGTTCTGGGATTGAGCCCCGCATTGGGCTCCATGCTCGGCGGGAAGCCTGCTTCTCCCTCTCCCACTCCCCCTGCTTGTGTTCCCTCTCGCACTCTCTCTAATAAATAAAATCTTTAAAAAAAAAAGTAAAGCCCTATTATTATCCTGGGCACTCACCTGACCCCAGAAAAGAGGCCTCGTCATTCACAGGACAGAGTGGCCCCTCAGTATTCCCCATGTCCCGTTTTCCTCTTGGGACCGCCCTTGTCCCCCCAAGGGTCAACTTGCTTCTGTTCAAGTTCACTTCGGTTTGGCTAAAACAAAACTCATTGGTGCAAAAATGTGTTTTTGACTTAAAAATAGACTCAAAGCGTTTCTACTTCACAGAACGTAATGGGAACAAAGATGAATCAAAAACCACCACAAAGAAATCTGATTAAAACCTGGTCAGACACCTTGAAAAAGTTGCGAGCGGGGTGGAAGGCCTTGTTCTATGTTAATATTGAACAGCCAGGGCGGAGCAAAGCAAGCAATCGTGGATCCTGCTCACACCACACAGTGAAGAGACATCTATGGACAACAGGAAAAATCTAAGCAAGGACTAGAAATGGAGGTGACCCTAGGGACTCATCGTCACGTCACATCTGATGTGACAGCACTCCCCGTAAAAAGTCGGAGTTACATTTAGAGACTCGGCTGAAATGGAACCAGGCGTCCTAGTTAGCGGTTACCAAACCATGAAACAAAGATGGAAAGGTCCCTTAGCCGCTGTGATCCTGTGTGCTGGGTGGGGGGAGGGGTAGCCCTACAATATTCTGGGTTTTGTTCGATTGAGAATCTTCAAACACAGAGTTCTAACATACCTTTATAGCCCGCGGACTTTGACCACAATAAAAGGCAACATCACTTTTTCTTAGAAAACTTTTGATGAGCTCTTTATACGAACGTGGGCCCAAACCACCTGGCTTTCTCCTGTCAACTTTTCTTGAGGAAAGGGACACCAAAACCCAAGCTCTCTGTGCAGGTATTTCTGGGGAGATGGCACAGCCAGGCAAGCAGGCAACGCTCAACAGGGAGGGAACACCGTGGACACTCACAGTCCGGGCAGCATCCATTAAAGGCCATCCGGCAGATGCCACAGTTCTCGTCGTTGGCCACCCAGAGCCAAGTGGCCACACCATTCCAGCACTTGATCTTCACCTTCATGGCCGCGGAGCCTACAGGCGGAGGGAAAGAGGTCAGGGAGCTACACTTCGTCTGCGCAGCGACAGCATCTGGGCACCAAAGGGGCGCGGCTCCGAGCCCGAGGTTCAGCACGGGCTGGGATTGCTGCCAGAGCTCTGAGAAATCCGGACGGACAGGCACAAATGCGTCAGCACGGACGGCGGGGGCAGGGCCCGGGTGCCCCTGGGGGGACAGAGTGCCCCAAGAGGGAGGCGCCCTACACATTCAGGGTATCTACAAAGACTGCACGGTCTGCCCTGCGTCCAGGAAACGGAGCTTGGGCTTTCACCAACAATTGCAAAAACGTACCATACGGTGCTTTTCAAAGGGTTAGGACTAACTTAGGGACCCCGAGAGACCCCAACCCAGCTGACTACGAGTTCACACCACGGAACCACCGCCCAGCCCGCTCAGCCTGCGGCCCTGGTCAGCGAAGATTTGGTCGGCGAACGCCGCCGCCACCACCACCCGACGAGAGTGCGGAGGAGGGCGATGCGGGGCGGGACCAGGGCGCGGGGAGAGGGCCAAGTGCCGGGAAGGGGTGGGGTGCGAGGAGGGCGCGGGAGCGCGGGGAGAGGGTGGGGGGCGGGGCGCGAGTTCGGAGAGAGGGGGCGGGGGGAGGCGCGAGAACGCGTGGGAGGGGTGGGGTGCAGGACGGCGCAGGGGCGCGGGGAAAGAGCGTGAGGGAGAAGGCGCGGGAGCGCGGGGAGAGGGTGGGTGCGCGCGGGAGACGTGCGGGCTCGAGGCTCGGGGCGAGCAAGGGGGGGAGGGGCGGCGCGCCCGTCCCGCCCCAACGGCCGCGCCCCGCCCCGCGCTCTCGCCCCGCCGCCGGCCTAACCTCGCGCTGCCCCGCCCGCCTTCCGTTGGCAGCGCCCGCGCGGGAAGGTACAAAAACGACCGGCCACCGCTCGGCACCTTAACAGCAGCGCTCGCCTACCTCTCCCCCTGGCGCGCACGCGCCGCCCTGCCCCCACCGCCCCCTCGCAGCCAATCCCCGGCCTCTCCAAGGCCTCGGCACCGGAAGACAGCGCGCGGCTCCGGAAGTGACGCGCCGGCGTGCTGACGCGCGGGCTCGAGCCGAGGCCGATTCCGCGCCCGCCATGGCCGACAAGATGGACATGTCTCTGGACGACATCATTAAGCTGAACCGGAGCCAGCGAGGCGGCCGCGGCGGAGGCCGGGGCCGCGGCAGGGCCGGCTCCCAGGGCGGCCGTGGCGGCGGAGCGCAGGCCGCCGCGCGAGTGAGCCGAGGCGGCGGGCCCATTCGGAACCGGCCGGCCATCGCCCGCGGCGCGGCGGGCGGCGGCGGCAGGAACCGGCCGGCGCCCTACAGCAGGGTGAGCGCGGAGGCGGCGGGCCGCGGCGGGCGGCGGGCCGGAGGGGCGGCGCGGCGGGGAGGACGGCGGGCTGCGCCGGGCCGGTGGGCGCGGGCGCCTGCCGGGCAGCCGGGTCGCGCGCGGGCCGGGCCCGGGAGGCGGAGACCGTCCCGGCCTTTGTCTCGGCTGGGCGCCGGGCCTCGTGGCGGCGGCGGCCGAGGGGACGTTGGGCGCGGCCGCGCGGGCGGCGGGAAGTTGGCTGGAGGGGACGGAGGGGCTGCGGGACCGGGGGGTCCCGCTGGGTCGCTGCGGCCTGGCGCGGCGTGGGCGGGAAGGGGCGAGCGACCGGCCTCTGCGTTTCCCTCCCGGCCCGGCGGGGAGAGGGCGGCCTGCCCGGGAGGGCGAGGGAGTCTCGAAGACACACTCATGGGTCTGCGTCCGCTCTTGTGTTTTCTTTCTTCTCCAGCCGAAGCAGCTTCCTGACAAGTGGCAGCATGACCTTTTCGACAGCGGCTTCGGGGGTGGCGCAGGCGTGGAGACTGGTGGGAAACTGCTGGTGTCAAATCTGGATTTTGGAGTGTCCGACGCTGATATTCAGGTAAGGGACGGGAGGTTCCCGGTGAGCACTTCACCCTCGCCGAATTGGTCCTGTTCGGGATGTGGTCTTGAATCCCCTGCCACCCCAGGACAGTGAGCCCTCCCGGGCACCCAGGGGCCACCCCTGTCCCCTCTAAGGGGTGCAGGAATGGAAGCAGAGGTCATGGCACAGTTGAAAGTCCGACAAGTAGGTCAGTGTGTTGGAAGACAGGCCCCCGGCTTAGCGTGAGGGGCTGCTGCTCTTCCTGAGATGTGTTCTGTAAACGAAAATCCTCTGCCGGAGCTTTTACTTCTTGGCCCGAAAGATTGGCCTAATGGGAGCCTGTCCTGTGTTAGCGACTCACCTAGGATGTTCGGTTTTTGCTTACTTTGTACTTGTTTTAGTGACTTGTTGGGAGGAAAAAGACCTTTCTCTGTGGAAATTTATAGGCAAAGCACAGAAGCAGGATGGTGCTGGGCATCTTTCCTGCTCCGTTTGCCTTGAGCCCCAAGCTCCGTGTCTTACGGAACTTGTGCCTTGTTTTTCTCGTGGTCTTTTTAGTGGCATGATTCTCAAACTCAACTTTGGTTGAAGCTTCTTTTTTTGTTGTTTTGTTTGGGGTTTTTTTGTTTTCTGGTTTTTTTGGGGGGGGTTGTTTCTGTTTTTCAGGGGTTTTTTTGTTTTTGTTGTTTTGTTTTTTTTGTTTGAATTCCAAAGGCATATAAACCTGTTTTCTGATTAAGTAAAGACATCTTGGGGATAAGTCCCAGAGATGGCTGGGTCAGGGTGCTGGGCCTTCCTGGGTTCAATTTCCCAGAGCCCAGCTGTTTGTTTGACTACCGTGGGAGGACAGAGCAAGGCCGGTGAGCACTCACGGTGTCTCAACACTTTTTTTAAGGTGGTTTCTGGCATCCACTGGAAACCGCTTTTGGTGAACTCCTCTTCCCGCTGTGTGCCTGCGGCCGGAGTAGCCCCACACCCCGGGTTCCCTCTCCAACTCCCAGCCTGCCTGAGGTCAGGGCGGTTTCCATGGCAGCGCTTGACTTCAGCCTTTGCGGCAGGCTTGAGTAGGAGGAGAGGGAAAGGTGAGCCAGAACCTGCCCTGGGGGAGGGGCTGGGTCAGGGCTCCCAAACCGCCGGGCCCTGGGAGCTGGTCCGCATGTCGGATAGCATCCCTTGCTCTGCGATCTTGGCCTTTGCTGTTTCTTGGTACAGTCCTTGGGTGTGTTGTCAATTTTCCGCTGTTGGAGAAGGTAGCGACTTACTCTTGTTCCCTTCACTGGTGGGCTCTGTGGTCCTTTACCTGCATCCTGGGACAGATGTAAGGTCCCCGCACTGGCAGGAGCCCTCAGGCCCAGCTGCTCCAGGAAGTTGCTGTCCCATACACCCCTCCCTTCCCCTGGTTTCCACTACCACTGCCCTGCCCCCATCCGTGTCTGCCTCCCAGGGAAATGACCCCAGAGCAGCTCACACTGCCAGGGAACTGCCCTGGGCCACCAGAGGGGAAGCCCCTTCTCTAACAGCTGCTCTTCCCGGCCTCCAGGAGCTCTTCGCTGAATTCGGGACTCTGAAGAAGGCAGCTGTGCATTATGACCGCTCCGGGCGCAGTTTAGGAACAGCTGACGTGCACTTTGAACGGAAGGCAGACGCCCTGAAAGCTATGAAACAGTACAACGGCGTCCCCCTGGATGGTGCGTCTGAGGTTGGACCCAGGATGATGGCGGGGCTGCGGCTCGTTTGTGGAGTCTGGGGCTGGCAGCCATCCGTGCAGGAGTATGGCTTATCCTGTGGCTGAGGACACTTTGCATTCGCCCCTTTGTCTCTCTTTTCCATTCTGCCACCTCTCATGCTGCCCCACACATCTGGACCAACCTCTTGTGAACCCCCATCCAGCAAGCTACATCCCTCCCCTCCTTCAGCTCCTTCCGGAAGACTCACTTCTGTGAAGCCTTCTCAGAACCGCCATAGTACACCTCTGAGTGCGGGGCTGTAGTCGTAAAGACAAAGGTACCAGTTCTTCTTCCGTCAGGCCACCCACACCTTTCCACCCATGAGCACCCTGGACACCTGGCCAGACACCCACCCAGCCCGGACCAAGAAGGAGTGAGGAGGTTTTCGGTGGGGTTGTCACTGGCAGCATCTCGTTCTCCCACCGGTATCGCTCGGCCGCTCCCCTTGTTGGGAGCCTTGGAGATACACAGAGCCCCTCTCCGGTGCTTGCATGGAGACCGGGGTGCGGCACCCCTTGGTGCGTCTCAGAGCCCTCTAACCCGGGGCACCTCTTGTTTTCTCTGCCGCAGGCCGCCCCATGAACATTCAGCTCGTCACGTCACAGATTGACACGCAGCGGAGACCCGCGCAGAGGTGAGCTCCGGGGCTGGGACGCTGCGTGGGCCTGGGGGCACTCGTCCTGCAGGCCCTTCCACGGCACGTGAGTGGGTTCCCTCTTCCCTGCTAGCGTAAACAGAGGCGGGATGACTAGAAGCCGTGGCTCCGGGGCTTTCGGCGGCGGCGGCACCCGGAGAGGCACTCGTGGAGGAAGCCGGGGCCGAGGCAGAGGCACCGGCCGGAGTTCGAAGCAGCAGCTTTCTGCAGAGGAGTTGGATGCGCAGCTGGACGCTTACAACGCGAGAGTAAGTCCCAGGCGAGGGGCGCCAGGGGGTGGACAGGGACTGATCGGAAGCAGGGGCCTCCTGTTGAGTGAGTGATTTTTGTGTGCGTTTCAGATGGACACCAGTTAAAGAGAGCGGCAGATCCTCAAGTGGAGCAGGACCCAGATGTCTCCTCCGTGCTCCCTGGTGGGAGGGGGCCGTGGACTGGGACTGTGCAGCCAATGATGGATTTGTTTCTTTTGTGTTTTAAAATAGGATTTAAAAACTCATGTAAAGGTTTTTTTTTTCTTTCCTTTTTTTTTTTAAATTCTGAAGCAGCCCTGTTTTGTACCGAGTTATTTTTGGGATAAATGTTACCGGTTGCCGTTGTGGGGAAGGTGGTGTTTTCACCTTTGCCATAATAAAACAGAGACGTGTGTGGAACTGGAGCCATGTGACTCGTCCCCTGTCGCAGTCCTTGCTTGGGCCTGACGGGAGCGTGGGGAGCAGTCCCGCCTGTCTCTGCTCCACCCGTCCCGCCCCCGTTACCTGCAGTGTGGAGTGAGGGGTGGGATGGGGCGCCGCAGGTTGCTGCCGGATTTTGGACGGCCGGTTGGGCTGTCCCTCTCCTCCTGGGGCTCTGCTGCTCAGACCCAGGGATCAGCAGCTCTGACTTTGTAACATAACCCCCTCCTGTTCTCCTCTGTCTCTCACGTCAAAGCAGGCGCCAGCCAGCAAGTGTGTCCTCAAGTCGTATCCCGGTGGAATGCCCGGGGGAGCTGTAGCAGTTGAGTGACGCGCACAGACCCGGAGGGGCTGGTAGATGGCTGCCCCGTCTGGACTCCCTCTGGGACAGAAGAGAGCAAGCCAGAGATGTGCCCTGGGCACTCGCCCTGCCGTGCTGCTCGGAAGAGGCCAAGCTCCCTGCGGGAGGCCGGGCAGGGAGACCCCGCTGAAATCCTCAGGGTTTCCCTCCTCCTCCAGAGGTGCTGCCGGTTGTGCCCCAAAGCCAGTGAGACCTGAGGGCCCTGGATCTGCGGCCCCCGGGCCCGGTCTAGGGTACAGCAGCGCGTGGCAGGTGGT